TCGCTTAACAAGATTAATATTTTTAATAATGCTTTTAAACAAGATTAATCATCTTTCTCACTTTCTCCTGACCTCACTTCTGCTTCCGACCATAAAAAGTTCGGCAACACCGGAATCTCAGTGTAAAATAATTCACACAACTTCAAAAGCACAATTACTTGGTAAAATTGATTTTGATAATCTTAATGGTGAAAAATCTTACAGCGGCTACCTTGAATTATATGCAAATTCAAAGTTAATGGTTAGTGAATAATTGGTACATTTAAGATCTTGCATGGTATACTCTTTTTACAATTTTAATTTATATATGAAAATTTTTTAGAACATTATATATAGTAATGAACTTAATCATCGCCTTAAAGATTCAAGTAAGTAATTTCATCAATATTGCTATGTGATAAATGTTAATTACTTTTAACTTGAAAAATTTTTTTTATAATGACTTAAATTTATTATTGATTTTACAAAAAAAAAAAATTAGACGTTACGTCCACAGCATGCCATCCAGGAATTATACCAACAAAAATTACTTCAAAATTGTCGTTTTGGTTTTTTATCAGGTTGTTCTCTAAAACACCTGATATTGGCGCAATAAATGTAATATACCCTGCATTAGACCCGAACATTGATGAAGGTGGAAAGTATTTTGAGGAAAGTGAAGAAGTAAAACCAATTGATCAGGCATTAGACGAAGATTTGGCTAAAAAGTTTTGGGAAAAGAGTGAAGAATTATTAAATAATTATGATGCCAGTCTTTTAAAATGAATGTTTTACAGTTAAAAGTCTAGAAATGATTCTGATATTAAATTCTTATACTGATTAATATGTAATACTAGTGATTGACTCGTTAACTCATAATTAAAACTTGAATTTGTCATAATTTAAACCATGTAATCGGAGTCAAATTAATTCGTTTACAAATTGTAATTTAAAACCATGAATACTATTAATGCTTAAATCAATCCATATATAACCACTCCTTTCACAAGCGCTTCCTTTTAAAATCACATCATTATTGTTCTTTACATATTCAAGGTTAGATACTAATTTATTTGTATCCAAAATCTGTATCCAAATTCCATGTTTGTTAGTTATGAACGTTAGAGGATCAGAGTAACATGAAATTGATGATTTATAAGAATAGTCAAAATATTACAGCATTTTTGACTTGTGAGTTGTTCTATTCACATTTCAGACCTTATTTATTTTTTAACCACATGCAAATGGCATTTTTATTTTGATTTACTATAAGATAATCGACTTCAGTGTTACTCACTTCCTGATAAAAGGAATTATTTTACAACCCGTTGATCAGAATCGATTCGTCTTGGTGAGGCGAATTGAATGGTATAAGAATAATTAATATACATTGATCCGCCAAACCACCTTCCTTCACCTTATGTAATAATAATACTTTTCGTAATAGATTTTTTGGGGGTCAAAATGTAAATAATTTAACTGCTGATTATTCAAAAAAAATAGTCAATTCATCAAATGTAACTACCCAAATAATTAACGATTTAACCAATTAGACTTAGAAAATGATAGCTCTTTTAGCGAAATTGTTAAAGAATTATATTTAAATATAATGAAGAATATTTAACATGTGACGATTTGGATATAATCATTAACACATTAGATCAAATTTTGGCAGAAAAGAAGCAAAATCCTGATAGTATTATTAATTGGTGTTTGGATACTCAAAATGGTCCTATTATAAATCGTTCTTGCAAGATGTTATCGTTTTGGTAAATGGGTTGAAAAGAATGGACGTAGGGCATTTGCTCATTATCAAAAGCCTGCTGATATTGAATTTGCTAAAGGAATATATAGTGTTGGTGTTTGTTATGATTCAGAAATTGGTGTTAATGAAGATGAGAATAAAGCATTTATTCATTATCAAAAAGGTGTAATATGGTTATATGGGTGAAATTTTTAATATTGGCTGTTGCTATGAGGAAGGAACTGAAATTGGGAAGGATGAAAATAAGGCTTTCATTTTTTGCAAAAGATCTGCAAATATGGGCTATGTTAAAGGAATATTAATGTTGGAAATTGCTATCGTCATGGGATTGGGGTTGAAAAGATGAAAATAAAGCATTCGTATATTATCAGAAATCTTCAGACATAATGTTGGATATTGTTATTTTAATGGAATTGGTGTCGAAATAGATGAAATAAGGCATTTAATTATTTTATAAATCTACTGACATATGATGTTGGTGTCAAAATAATGAACATAAAGCATTTATTTATTATCAAAAAGCTGCTAATATATGTTATATTTACGCAATAAATGGGGTTGCTGATTGTTATCTTTATGGATATGGAGTTGAGATAGATGAATAAGGCTTTTATTTAGTATAAAAAATTAGCTGAAATGTAAAAACTTAAAATTGATATTAATAAATTTTTTTACAGTATAATTGTCGGTCAGCTATCATCGACTATCGACTAGCAACCGGCTATAGCCGATAAATTACTTGATCAATTTCTTAATTAATTTTTCAATCAAACATATAAAGAAGTGCCAAATAATTATATTTTTGCATATTATACAGTTATACATATTAGAGTACCATCTAGCCATAGCGAAAAAAAGTTCGGTCACATGCTGTAAACAGCCAATCAAAACAATACATTTTCAAAACAATCTAATTCTGGTCAAATTTGTAGATCATTTGGCCTATTTAAAACCCATCCTTAATAGGCCAAACGATCTGCAAATTTGGCCAGTATTAGATTGGTTTGAAAATTTTGAAGATTTCTCTGGAACTACTTGATTAACCTCAGTAAATTTTTTTATTTTAATTTTAAACTTTTGTAAAAGTTTTTATCGAAATTGATAGGTGGTTGTTGAGAAATCTTCACTAAAATATTCAAATTTTACAAAAAATAGG